CAGCTGAATGCAGGGCCTCTTCCAGGGAGAACATAGGTAGTAATTTTTGCTGTCAAAACAAAAGGTTCACTAGCATCGAAGACAGATGTGAGGTGTCTGTGATACCTCAGAACAGCAGTCTACTTAATATTTACCCAGTGCATGACAAAATATTAACGTCACACTGCAGTCTTATATATTATTTTCAGCTGGAGCACAGAGTGCTGTTTGAAAATATTTTGCGAGACAAAGGTGAGAGAGTGAGCAGCGCTTTCAAGCTGGGAGGAAAGAGAGAAGGCAGCTGTGAGTTTCCAGACAAACAGATAAGAGAGCAGCGGAGGTGTGTGTTGTGTGTACGTGCACAGGTGTGTGTGTGTGGGAGTGAATCAGTGTGGGATTTAACCCCACAAGGACAGTGTATTGGATCAGGAATCGCAATGGGGTTTCTTGACCTGCTGATAGGATCCGATGAGGCCAGAGAGCAGATACAGCCCTGTGCACTAGTGTGTGTGTGCATGTGTAAAGGTGTGCTGGCAAGTAAATGGAAGGGCATCACTAGTCACCTTTTGCTGTAGCGTTTCCATAGCAATACCCAATAGTATTGAAGGCACCTCCCGTGGGAAAACCCCTAATGTGTGAGCGTGTGTGTGCGTCTGACATTTCTAATAATGTTAAGTCGCCATCGCACGGGCCTGCACTTCATTTCCTCCTGTCATTCATACGAACCTCATCACCATCAATTAGAAAGCAAACAGTGTGAGCTGGGGCCGAGCTAAATATGCAGAGAGGCTTTGGTTAAATGACTCTAACAGGATTCAGCCGTCTCCATCTCATCATTTATATATGAGGCTCACTTGACCCCTGGAAGCACATCGACACACACAAAGGAAGCCTAGACACATACGCTCCAAGTGTAACACCAGGGTTTGTCTGTCACTCCCTACAGAGATCAGCATTCCTGTATCAACACTGCACCCCGAAGAGGGTCAGTCATCCCCTGCCAAGGTAAGTGGAACCCCCCCCCCCACACCATCAACTTGTCAATACGCCCTTTTAGATTTTTAATGGTAGCTTTAATGGCTGTCATTACTAGCTAATACCTTTTTAAAACCAACAACACAGATCATAGTTTAGCTAATTATCTCCCAATGATATCACCATTAGCTGGACCAGCTCAATTTACGATGACATCTAATATGCTGGCAGCTCTTTCTATACCCGTAACACAAATGTTTCAACATTTACAAATTCTCAATTATTATAAAACATTTTTGTCCTGCTGTCTCTCCATTTTTGTAACCCTTTAACATTTTTATGTATGTTTTAAGGAATAATCTTCACGTTAGCGATGTCACAATTAGCATTTTGTAAAAAAAAAAATGTATAAAACAACACATGTATTAAAACCTTCAAGTGAAATTGAGGTTAAAGGAATCTATATTAACTTTTTAATTACTGTTATGGAAATCTGAAATAAATCGATTTACAAGCAAACATGTTGGTTTTGTGAGGTTTTGATTTGCCTCTACAAAGGGAACAACAGTGGCGCATTTCTCAAAAACCACGAGTTACAGCTCATACATTGAAACACTGCAACTACAGTAACTTACCCTAAACCTTTATTTCACCTGTTAAAAGTGTTGTTGAAAGCCTACCCAGTCAAACTGGTCAAATATTTAGTCATGGTGAATTCCTCGATTTCTAATTTCTTCTACAATGGTAAAACAAAAATGTGTGCTGCTCCAGGCAGGTTATTTTCTGAGGATAAATGACTGCTATTGTCTATCAAGGTGAAAACTGGGGACCCTGATTTGAAGAGACGACGATTTCACTTGCTTTTGTAAAGCAAAAGAACATCTACATTTGGATGTAATGGGGAAAAAAAGATCAAACCTCCAGCAGTAACATTAAGCTATCAACTCGCGTAGATTGTACAAAACTGAAATTGAACACATTCCAAAAACATGCAGTCTGTCTGTACCAAAGGGAAAAAAATCATATTGTAGAAAACTGAAATATTTTTCGAATTCTGACAAATGATAAGAAATCGCCGTTCTGTGATGCACAAAATGTGAATGTCATTTATTGTTATACATGAAAAACTGTAATATCTGTACAAGTGGATTTGAACTGGTTTCCAGCAGTCTGGAGTGGAACCTTTATCTGTGCTCTAATGTGAACAGTTTACACCGTCAGCTTACTCTCAGTTCAAAAATACTAAAACCGAGAGAACACTGTTTGAAAAGTACCTCTCAAGTCTGTATTGATTGCAGCTTCTTGGGTGTAAACAGCAGACATGCTTATAATACCTTTTGTTTGCAACTTATTCAGGCTGAGTGTGATTACTGAGGGACTTATGGATGTTATTGTCATTATCACCATTTTGCCAGGAAGAAAAAAGTGGGAATAGTGTGGGTTGAGGCTCAACGTGACTGGATGCGGTTGCTAGAAGAGGGTGTATGCAAATGTTCTGTTGCATGCATATGTTTGCATCTACTGTTTTTTTGCAGTTCCCTGCCCCTGAATTAGGTCAGATGTCATAAATGCATTGATGGCAACCTAAAAGGAAGCTCAGTCCTGAGAAGTAATGAATATAAATCCCTTTTTTTATGCTATTATACTGTGCAGGATGACCAAAATCCCTCCAATGGCAGCGTATCAGACAAAACCAGTCGCTATGACATTGCAGAGCTGGCCACATCCTCTTTACTGGGTGAGACACACACACACACACACACGCACGTGTTTAGTTTATGCTGTGTTTAATTCCTGCGTGCTTCATCATGAGTCACTGTGCTGGTAACTACGGGAGATTATAATGTCATTTCCGCCTTTCCTTACTCCCTCACACACAGTAATGCCAAGCAGCACACATATTTCCTTTATCCATGTGTATTTTTTCCTTCTCCACCTTTAACTCTGGCTTCCTGCTCCTCGTCTTCTTCCTCCTTTCCCAATCCTGTGTCTGTCTGCCTCATCTCGACTGCTTCCCCCGCTCAGTGGGGGGTTCATTATCTCGGTTAATGTGTTATGCCTTGCTGAACTTTTCCGAGTGAACGCTTCTTTATTACAGTGACAGAATAATTACGGAGGCCATGAAAACCTCATGAATGCAATAGACAAATAGAGACATTCAGGAAGACGGCTGAGATGCTGGCACCTGCTTTGAGAGGCTCCGTGAGGCTCCGTGATATGATATAAAAAAAAAAAAGAATCAAAAGGCTTTTTAACATTTACTCAATCTTAATTAGTCTTCCGTCATCACTTAAATTGGCACTGTAAGTTCTGTGGACGTGGAGCTGACATCCTAACTGCTTAAATGAGATCACACTGTGCTAATGCAAATATTATTGTACCACTGTAATTGCATTTTGAATAATATTGAGCAGCCGTTGCTGCTTTTATTCTCCTTGTATGATGCTGTTTGATGAATGCGTCAGGCAGACGTGATTGTATTAAGAGCCAAAGGTGCTAAAGCGCTGTTAGCGACTCTGGGAAGCTAAAGTCTTCATCAGATTGCAAAGCTGCAATAATATTGGACTGAAAAAGAAATGACATTTTTGTTATTCTTAGAAACCCCGTGTTACTAAACATGCAGTGTTTTTCTACACGTATGTTTACGCTGGTCTTTAAAATAAAATAGGCTTCGCACTATCAGAGTATGAAGGTGTTCAGTGAATTCAATGTCATTTGAAAGGTAGTCATAATCATAACTAAACTTCAGTTTATATAATGCTGCTGATTCTTTCATCGTGGTATACAGCAGTTCTGCAGGCTATAACAGTAAATGCTGTTGCCACCTCTTAGCAGAAGCTCTTGCTTGACTGCTGTGGCTGGGTAAAGTCAGTTGTAAACACCAATCTGCTTGTCCTGTCATTACTTTAGATTTAATTAAAACCATAAAACTAGAAGCATATTCTTGCTAGCTTTGTGCAGTCACGGTTCATTAATGATACTGTAAAGGCCCGATCTCCTTTATCTGGGCGTCTGTACAGCTAAAAGGATCTGCTCAGCAGATCTAGTGGGAGTGTGCAAAGTTAAAATAAAAAAGATCAGAGAAGTAAGGAGGCACAATCCATGCAATGACTTAAAATCAGCGGGGACAATGGGACCGATAAAAGGAAATCAATATGGTTGATCTGTTAAGACCCAAACATCTTAGCCCAGCTGCAGACTGAGCAACAGCTCACTGACAGGTGAATAAAGACTGTTATAACAGTCAAGTCACGAAATGAAGGCATGAATAGCCTTTTTCAAAGTCTGTCGAGCAGAGAAATAGCCTCACCTTTTAAGTACCCAAAAGCTAAAAGAGCCTAGCTTTAACAACAGTATTTATCTGTTTATCAAAAGGAAAAGAGCTGCCGCCGGTCATTCTCAGGTTCTTCACAGAGGTTTTGTTTGTTTGTTTTTTAAATTGATTTTTAAAGGTCTGAGTCCAGTGGGTGTCAGGTGCTCCACAAAAATCACTTCTGTTCATTTAAAGTAAGAAAATTTAATGCAATCCATGTTTTGACACAGACCAGACAGTCCAGTAGGGCCTTCAGAAGAGCCACGGTTTTGCATTTTAAGCAGATAATTCTGTGAATTATCTGCATAACAGTAAAATTAAATATCATGTTTGGTTTTTTTTGTAGATTAAACTCAAGCAGAGCATATACAACGAAAACAGAAAGTGGACCAAAAATGGATCCCTGAGGGACCCCACCTTAAAAGTGAAGCTGGTGTGGATGGTGCGTCCCCCACCCTAACTAGAACAATTCTGTCAGCTGAATAAGATTTTTAATAATTACAGAGCAATACCTTTATTTCTGACAGTGCTCAAACTGAGCAGTTAGAATATTATGCATATTGTAGATAAGGGTACTAATCTCTAAAAGGTCATTTAAATTTTTAAAAAATGCACAGACTAAAATACTTCTGTAACTCAGCTTCAATCTAAAAGGAAGCTTTTAGCTTTTCGGTCTGAAACTGATAACAGCTTTCTCCAGCACTTTAGTCAAAGTGAACTCATTAAATCACATCTCTAAAGAAGCAGCCCATTAGCAGACCTTTTAGTCTTTCTGTGTGCAATTTGAAGAACATACAAAAATTTTGAACATGCCATTTCTTTTTAATAAATATTAAATTTAGTAATGGCTGTTTCTGCTTACAGCTATGAAAACAAGGCAAACTGCTCTGAAGGCTATTTTAGACCAGATCAGTGCAAGTGAAAATAAATGGGACAAATTTGCATGTCATCAAGCCAACTCTTCTAAATGAGGAAAAGTAAACAAAGAGCACATTTGCCTACAGTTATAGATCAAAATTAATGCCCTAGGTTTTCTTGAGTTCAGTTAACAAGTTTAACAAATTAAAAACTTATGAAGACTCCAGTTTAAGTTCAGTTAATGCAGATTTTTAACACAGCACTTCAACTTTGTGTTTTAAAATCTCTATTACAGTGGCTACATAAAATGTAATTGTTCATCTTGAAGCGAGCTGAATGTTCCCGGCAGTTTATTTAATACAAAGTTACAGCTTAATATACAGAATTGATGGTGGCTTTGAAGGAACATTCAGGAGCTCCCCTAAATATTGCACTTAATTTGCTGCTCCTTCCCCAGTGGCCCACCCTGGCAAGACTGTGCTATATTGGTAATAATGTAGTAAGGCTGCAGAAAAGGTAACGCTAACCCATGAACAGTGCATAGAGACATGGAGACAACATAGAGACAGGCAACAGGTCACACTCTTACATGAAATAAAACTGCAAGTTCTGTTGTTGGTGTGCCACCCCAATATTTTTAGTGGCCCCCATATGACCATGGTATAAAAAAAAGTCTGGAGGCGCCCCTGCTTGTCACAATAGATAAGTGTGAACATGGACGTCTGTTAGCAGGTTAATTTAATGGTAACAATGAATACTTAAATACCCCCCAACAATGCAAAACCCACACTACAGCTCCAGATTTTAAAACCACAGTTTATTCATCTGTCTGTGTTTGCTCATAAACAAAGCACACCAGGAAGTCGTGCTCCACACAACGCAGTATATGTTTTTGGTTTTTATTTGATAAAATCACTTACTCCAGACTTATTGGTTGTTTAAGTAGTACCACTATCTTGATTGCAATAAATGAGGCATTGAATCATTTATTACAGTCCCCAAGGAATTTCAGATTATTATTGATATGCTTGTTGCCTCTGACATGCTGAACATGGCTAAATGTTTCATTTATCATCTCATTTCCTGTCTTATTTTAGCGGTGACTCATTTTTAACAGCAAAGTGACTCTTACATATTTTCTGTCAGTTTCATTTTTATGACTGCTTGCTTTGTTTCCACAATCACCTCTACTGAAGCTGCCCATGTTGTGCAATAATATATGTGTTTAAGGCCAACTTTGTAGAGTTAAAAAAAAAAACTCAAGCAAAAAACCATTGGTTGAAAATGTTGGTTTGCATGAACCATTCAATATTTTAAAAGGAATGCCAGCTCTACACCAATTTAAAGCTTGTGTATGTGTGTATCAAATGACTTTGAATGTGGGATCAAAAACAGAGCAAAAAGCATAGTTAGCAAACGGATTTGAGCAGCCATTCGGCTACCGTAAATGATAAAGGGGGGACATTAGTGGAGAAAATAGCTGGCGACAAGCAAACCAGTCATAGAAATGTCTGAAAGCAGACTCTTAAAAGCTATGTGGTTTTTTAAAATCATAAAAGCATCCCCATCCCATCCTTTGTTAGGTAGGTACTTTCAGCTGCCCCCTTATTTCCCATGAGGTCACCACAGCAGATGGATTGGTATATTTGATTTGACACATATTACACCAGATGCCCTTCCTCACACAACCCTGCCATTTATCCAGACTTGGAATTTAGGACACTAGGAACACATTAACTTGTAACCCCCTAAGGGTCGGCATGCGAGTTCTCAAACAAGGGATGTTTTGCATATTAGACCTATGTGTTAACTACTGCAACATGGAGCCACTGGACCGTAGCCTTTAGTTCGTGTACCACAGACCTCTTAACAAGCTCAATCCGGGTTCTTTTTGATTTTGAAATAGCTCACACAGTCACTATTCAACCCAGTAATGGCATATTTCCTCTGAAGTTGTGAAGATAAATCTAATACATCAAATGTGTCTCTAAGGGTCTCCTTTGAACTCTTGTTTGATTGATCTGATTGGCTGATCTTACGTAGAAGCAACCAAGCAAATGTAAAACTTGACATGCTAATCCTCTCTATCATGTGCTTAGCTATCAAACTATTTCAACTACCCAGGTCATATATCAGCTTGTTTGTTTGTTTCATTTACTGTGAGCTTCTCCTTTTGTTCCCTTTTTTCTACAGCAGTTCATCTCATCCTATCCCTAGGATCCACCTCTCTCACATTAATATCCTCCTTCTCTACATCCATGAATCTTCTCTGTGGTATTCCTCTTTTCCTCCTGTCTGGAAGCTCCATATCCAATATCCTCTGTCCAGCATATCCACCATCCATCCTCTGTACCTCTGAGCCTGCTAGCCCTTCACCTCAGCTACGTTTTTGGTGTCTACCAGGTCTTGAGGGAAATTTTTTTCTCTTTAATTGCCGACTGCCTAGCTAAAGGCTAATCACCATTTAACCAAGCCTCTGCACGCCCTCCTTCAGTACATCAGTACATCCACGAATGGTCTCTGTCTGCATTTAAAAACTATAAATCAACTGATTCTGTTCTTATATATCCCAGTTCACTCTTTTAGCATAAATGTCAATCATACAGTATAACCTTATTGTTCTTACAGCTTTACAGAATGGCATAAAATAATGAGAAAAAACCATTTCCTGTTTAAAGAAATATAAATGAATTTTTTGTGTCTGCTGTTATTGTCAGAATCCATACGGCTCCAGTAAACTTAACAGGCAAGCTGGGTATGGGGTGAGATGCTTAACTAAAGGCAAAGAAGGACAATATCACTGTCTTTTGTGCTCCACTCACAACTGCTTAATAGGCTCATTGCTTTCAACGCCCAGCAATAATTGAGGCTGACTCAGACAAGCATATGTTTCAGAAGTTTTCAAAAAGACTTCTGTGATAAGGGGAATTATCTGAAACAACAAAAGCGAGGATGACAAAAATAACTTCTTGAAAAAGCCCTTTCAGTTAACTGTGCAAACTCATGAAAATGTTTTACTTCTCTTCACACACAGACGATGCAAATGTGACATTTTGTACATTTTCAGAAACATAATAACAGGCCTCTATAGAGGCATGCAGCAGCAGCAGCAGCACAGTCAGTAGCTCCAAACAGCACGCTGTGCATCAGCCTCCCATGGACCTGGCGGTCCCTTAAACACTGTTTCTTGTCTGCACTGTACCTACAGATTAACAGCGAAAATCATGCCTGGCTTACTTCTGCCCACTGCGTTCCAGGAACAAATAGGTTGAGCTATGTCAGCCTATTATGATTTAGTCCGTTTCATAACGCAGTGTTGACAGTTAGTGCAACATACCCCGTTTGGAAAACAGATGGGATTTTATTGCTGTGTGCACATAACATAAATAGATGCAAATATAGCTTTTCTCACATCAACAGTCAGCCAGAAAAGAGCCGCAAAAAAGAGTCGTCACTGTGTGAACGCAGCATGAGACGGAAGTGGGTGTCACAGTGTACAACAAAACGCTGAGAAGTAGGTGTTGAGCTCAGAAGGGAAAGAAGAAAAAGTGATACCAATGTTTTTTTTTCTCAGCTTGAACCCAGGTGTCCAGCACATTTGGATCCCTTATCTTATTTACACCATTTCTCAATCCTCAAAGTCGCCTTTTGATTTCTAATCCTTGGTTTTCCTCTAAGCTTCTGTAGTCTTAACATTTTATTTCTGCTTTTTCCATAAATTCATCTCTTTTTTTGACCTTTACCTTTTCAACCTTTCCTTTGTTTGTCCTTTGTCAATTTGACTTTAACTCGTCCTTTCCGAAGACCTTTCAACTTTTGTCTCCTTTGATTAAATTAAACGATGGATCCTTTGAGGTTTTGCCCGGTGATTCCGCAGCTTATGAATAACACATTAGCGTAGAGATACGGGAACACAGAGACTTGATATTGCTTGACAAGACTCCATTTAGGGCAATATTCAAAGACCAGAGGGAAATGCACCTGATTTGTGGGATCCTTCTGGTTAAGCTAACAATTATGATGTCTATCACAACTACAAAGGAGTCCAAACAGACTGAAATGATCTAATAAAATGATAAATGTCACACAGTTTTTGTTTCAATGGTTTTCTAGCTAAGTGAGACTCATACAATACTGTTAAAGTGCTGAGAGTTATAAACAAGACCTGCCTGAGGCGTGCAATGCTCTCATTTCTGTTCTGTCCAGTTTCGTTTCAGTGGCTCGCTACATAAGAAGGCAGCAGTAGAAGTTCTTCTTTTTGTGGTTCATGTTATGCAAATCAAGAATAAATGCTCACCTTCAAGCCTGAATTATGCAAAGCTGTAGAATTTCATGTCAAACAACAACCGTCTCATTATAGTTCACCTTTCTCTTGCCCTCTATTAGATTTCATGTCTTTCCTACTCTACATCATTTTCATAGAGCTATTTCATCTTTACATTGCCTTCCCCTCAATTACTTTCTCTTATTCCTTCGTTACCACACTTACTGCATGCTCCATCTTTTCACCCCGGACAACCAAAATCTAATCTTGAGTTTCATCCCTTCTTGTCCTCCTTCCATTATTTAGGTCTGGTGGCCACAATAAAGGAGCACATCACCAAGCCGACGGCAATGGCCCAGGGGCGAGTTGCGCACCTGATTGAGTGGAAGGGTTGGGGTGGATGCGGTGAAGCCAGGGGAGGCGGAGGTGGATGGAGTGGGGCCTGGGGTAGAGGAGGCGGCGCCTGGGGGGGCATGGAGGCCGAGCTGCAGGAAGACGAACAGCTTTATTCCCAAATGACGGACGAGTTCAAAGAAGCTCGCTTCGCTGCAGGTGAGGCACACGGAGGAGTTTCATAGGAGGAAAAACAAGATGTTTTCTGTGGAGATGAAGCGATGCTGTGATCCTCCCCAACATTGTTTTTGTGTGATTGGTTTGTGCCGAGGGAGCATCTACAAAAATCAGTAACCTTTAGACTCAAACCTCGTGCACTTATTGAATTTCCCTTTTTTCTTTTGAGAAAAACAACTGATCGACTTCTGAGAAGCGCAGCCCGAAATGTGTTTGTTTGGCTTGTGTCTCGCAGGTGTTGCGGAGCAGTTTGCTCTGGCTGAGGCAGCCATGAACGTGTGGTCCATGAGCGACAACACAGAGCAGCCATCCACCAGCTTACAAGGTCGGTGCCTCCTTTATCGGCGTTTCATTTTCGTTTTTCATGCTGCGATTGTGGCCGATCCATTGTGTCTGAATACAAATGAACCAAATGCATTCATTTCTTTTATAACGGTCTCCGTCTGGGTTTGATTAATTATTATCCCAAAGTCATAATTTTACCTTCAAGTCGTTGCTTTAATGTTGACAATGGATTTTATTGGCAGACAGACATAAAAGATAAAAGAATGAATTTGTCTTTCACAACATACCTGATTTATAGCTGCATAGTGATGTAAGCTGCTCTGTTGTCTTCTTTATTTTGTTGCTGCTGCTTTGGCATGGAGATTAATCTGTCCTCTATTAAATAAGAGCCATGAATGAATCCAACTGACTGACAGTTACTTTACTTGACATCAAACGTCATCAGTGTGTCAGGATTTATTTTGTCTAGTAGTGGTGGAGATCTCAGAGGAACTGTTTATGCCGTGTGCACCTATTGCTTGAAGGTGAGTGGTGCTAAAACTTTACAGACATAAACAGCAGAAAAATTCTGTAACCCCAAGAATGAATACTACTACCTCAGATATGATGGTGTGTACATCTAAAATCTTAAACTACCAATGGTGAAGACTTTTCATCTTCAAAGCACACTGAAATTATGATTCCTAATATGTTCCTAGATACATATATTTAGTACTTTGATATATGTTTGTCTGTAATATGTAATTCTGGGCTTGTTACACTTTCCAGTCGTTGTAAAATCAAAGTACATCCTCTTTCAAATATAAGGTTTTATGTGTATGGACATCATCGACATCATCTGGTACTTGCAGGTTTTAAAATTGCATAAAAAAAACATGGCAACATTGCTTAAGTTTGCTATGCCTTAAGCCAGTGGTTCCCAAACTTTTTTTGCTAGGCCCCCTTTGTTTTACAAGAAAAATGTTCGCGCCACCCCACCCGCACGCACAAACACATCCTCCAACCACACTCACCCATATTTTTGCTCCATTGCGGTTTATTTCACACCTCAAACATTTAGTAAACAATTAAGCAAATACAAGTAATCTGCAATAAATTACAGGTAGTAATAAAATAAACTACTAACTCTCTTACGCTACGTCCACACCTACACGGGTATTTTTAAAAACGCAGCTGTTTCGTCCACACGTAAACGGCGTTTGGAATCGCAGAAAACAGAGATTTTTTTTAAAACTCCTTTTTTGCGTTTACGTGTGGACGAGGAATACAGAGTTCGTCTGGCAACATCAAGGTATGTGCCTTTTTTCACGTCACGCTGTGCGCCACGTTATTGTTTATGTGAGATGAATTGCAGAATGGCAGATAGAGACAAAATACTGTTAATCTGACTATCTTCAGGTTTTACACGCTTACATAGACACACGCTGTTGCTGTCCCTCCATTTAGAAAGTCAGAGGCGTCACGGTGGGATTATTTTACGTGTAGTTGTTTTTTTCCTGTGTAATAATATTCAACATTGCTATCAATGCATTTTTCAAAAAATGCCTCTCTGTGCAAAATGGGTTCAAAAACATAAACAGCTGTGGGATACTGTTTGTCCGTGATTTA